AAAGAGAAGAAGTCTTCATCTCACGCGCCTCTGCGAGAGCCGCCCGCCGACGGTGCGGTGCACGGAGACGATGCACTTTACTCACCTGGTGCCGTTTCAGACTAAACATGACGAGTGGGGTTTCCAAATGAGGTGCCGGGTTCAATGAGGTGTGATCACAGGTCCCAAGACATTTGCACGAGGAGAAAAGCTTCTGCACACCGTGAAGGTATTTTATGTGCAGAGATGACAGACACGGCCATTACGGGACTTGAATGAGCTTAATTGTCCAAGGAAAATAATTGAAAATAATCCTTTAGATGTCACAATATGGCAGCTTATCATCGGAACCCGTCAGCTGTTCCTTAATGTCCTCCCCGGTCACGGACCTGCTTTTCGGAGGCTCATTCCTCACGGCACCAGGAAGACCGTATTTCCGGCCCTGTCCAGGACGAGACCTTTCTCCCAGGGCGCGGAAACGCACGTCGCCAGAACACCGCCCGCGGCCGGGAAGGGTCATCAGTGTGACCTGAGCGCTCCGAAGGGCAAGTCGGAGACAGACGCACTTTTCCTCTGACATTTGTCATGGTCCTCGTGACGTGCGCAACCGATGACCCGCTGGTCAGGGCATGCACTTGAGAGCTTAGAATTAAACGCAGTTTCAGAAAGCGACTTTTTCCTGGGCACGCCACGTAGGCCACGCCACATAGGCCACACCACGTAGGCCACGCCACGTAGGCCACGCCACGTAGGCCACGCCACGTAGGCCACACCACGTAGGCCACGCCACGTAGGCCACACACGCTACCTGCTCTTATTTTCTCTCGCTCTGCACCAGCAATGTCAGTTTCCACAGGCGAAATTATACCGTGCAGGACTAAAACCCGCATTTAGGCGGGACATCGCATCCTCCTCGAGAGGGGAACTCGTACTTTTTCCACAGGCCGTTGCAGGCCAGATTTCCATGAGATGGCACTAACTAAAAACTGCAAAGAAAGAATAGATTAAGTCGTTACGACCTTCTCTTGGGGCCACTGTGAGTTACTCTGGCTGCTGGAGTGGACACAGCCCATCGCCTACCGGCCCTTCCATTTGCCAGCCGTGATGACAAAGACGGAAGCTGACGGCTCGGTGCCCGCCGCGGGCGTGAAGGTTGGGCCGCAGCCCGCGGGCTGACTGTGGGCGGGGTGCGGCTCTCCTCTGGGGGGCGCTCGGGGCCCGGCAAGTGAGGTCACGGGCAGTGCGTGCCTTTCGCCTTTTCCAGTCTGGCTGGACTTGTCTGGCCGTCCGTAACTCGGGACAAGCGCCCAGCCGCATTTCACAGAAGCGACACCGTGGCCGGCTCCACGCCGGGGTCAGCGC